ATTAATTACAGTTTTAAATCTAATAATCACATTTAGAATCAGAGTTCTTTTTGAAAGTTTAATAACAATAAAGATAAATCTAAAACAACTCTGTTACTTTTTAAGTGTTAACAGATCTTAAATTCTACCAAAACTCTCAAAATGAGTGTATATTAACAGCCAAGTTATATATAACAGCATAAACTTGTAAGAAATTAATGTATTGTGATATTGCACCATAAAACCTAATAATTTTTCCTAAAGTCCCTAAGAAGGTTCTATAGAAATAGGGACAAAAAAGTAACAGAGTTGTAACATATTAACATAGTTGATTTTTTTTACTTAAACTAAATAAATTGCTTCTGGTTGAGCTTGAGATTAAAATATAACGCGAATAATGAATAATAACACAAACATGTTTCTCTTGCAGCAACAGTAGGATATACAACATAAAATTGTTTGTATCGTGTAAAAGTTTTGTAACTACATTTCAAGTCAGCATTTTCTCTTTTCAAAGATGCATAAAGGTTCTTCATATTGTGAAGTAAGTATCGCTTTTGCTCTTTAACTTTCTTTAGAGAAATGGTCTCTTTCTTCCCAGCGTAAAACATAAAAAAACGTCGTCACATAAAAAAAATGCCTTAACTTTAGTAATCAAATTTTTTTTTTAATCAAGGGATGTTTTTTTCGCAAGTAACCCTGATCCACTGCAAGACATTCTTGAATGATTTCAGTTTTCTGTCTTGAGCACTTAACAACCTTTTCTTCAAATATTTTTTGAATAGCATATTTTTCCTTCCGATTTTTTACATTTTCATAGCGCTTCTTTATAGCATTTGATAAGACCTCATATTTTTTTTGCGTTGCTCTACTACTATCCTTATTTATAGATGTTTTCCGTTTTTGTCTGTTATGTCGTTTTTTATATTTTTCGTATCTTTCAAGATCTTTACGTTTAGATTCTAATACCTTTCAGGATTTTTTCGACGCCGTTTTCGATACCTCCGCTGCTTTTCTGCTGCTGTAAGAGGCATCTTGTCATCAAAGACAAATGCACAACAATAGTTTTAGGCTTATTTAAAATTTTACGCGACTCATATATAAGTACCAAGATTTTACCTTGCTTAAGAAAAGTAATTATTAAAAAAAAATATATTAAAGACAGTATACAATTTTAGCCAATAGTTGTATTATACAACTCTGTTACTTACATAACAACTCTGTTACCACACACAAGTGACAGAGTTGTAAGTAACAGAGTTGTAAATTTTACATTCCATGATACGCAACTAAAAAAATATGGGTTTAAGAATACATTTTCATGAACATAGAGCATATTTACCATATAGTTAATAAGCTGAATATAAAATAATAGAAAAAAAACGATTTACTTACGGAATAGCTGAGCAACAGAGTGGATGTACAATAAAAACACGCACGAGGGGCGATGTATTCCTCCTCCATTCAAACTGACAACCACGATGTACGCTGACAGCTCGCTCACGATAAGAGATAGATCAAAGTATCTCTATCTCTAATTTGACATGTGATTTACTTAGTAACATAGTTTTTCAGACGGTTCTCAGTAATACCGGGGACAAAACTTTAGCAATTTAAAAAAAAAACATTTTCAATCTGATCGTCTTGAAAACACATTTAATAAATATTTATAATACTGCTGTTATTGTCGTAATTTATTTGGATTGGGTTGATATACCAGAAATTAAAGTTTTTTCATCTTTAATGTAACAGAGTGCTGCTTGGGACAAGTAAAATATATAAGGAAAACCCCTCTGTTACCAAAAAGTACCACTATGTTACGTCAAAAATAAGGAAAAAAATAAAAACTTGGTATTTATTTGATTATTAAATGTTGAGTAATATGGTTAATTATGTATTCGATATGATTTTTTGAAAGAATGTTGAATATTTCATTATTATTAAATAAAAAATGTCAAGGGACTAGTTTACCTGCCCAAAATTTGACAATGACCCTTAGACTAATTTTTAATCGTAACCAATTAAAATCTTATTGAATAATATTGTTCGCGTGTATTTTTTTTTAAACTGCTTCATTTTTCAGCACTTCGGAACATTTACAGGTTCTGTGTTCATTTAGACTAATTTTTAAGTCGTTTTTTATAATGAAAAATATAAACAACCTTTATTATATACGTTAAAGTATTTTTCTTAGGAGTCTGTGAAAGATTTTGGCTTGGTATATCTGTGAGTACCCACTTACCTCCAATAAGTTCTATATTTTGTCGGCTAGTCGATGGAATACAATACGGGGCTGACAATAAATCATCATTTGGTGTCTGAGGTGTCTGACACTCAAAATTAATATCTCCAGATTGTTCAGTATCAAATAGTGATAAATCTTCAGTCGGTAAAAGGATTTTAGGTGAATTCAATTCAGGTAATAAAGGCATTTCCGTTTCAGTTATTGCTAACTCGACTTCATTTGCAACTTCTATATTGCCACAGATGATTTCATACGGTAGGATATCTGGATCAGTATCTTTTTTGGGATTTAATGCTACGTCATTACTTTTTTTGTTATTCCGGTTTTGTATTATTTCAGGAGGCGTTGATTTTATGGTTGTTGCAGATGGACTTTGCACTATTTCAGAAGGCGTTGATTGTATGGTTGTTGCAGATGGACTTTGCACTATTTCAGAAGGCGTTGATTGTATGGTTGTTGCAGATGGACTTTGCACTATTTCAGAAGGCGTTGATTGTATGGTTGTTGCAGATGGACTTTGCACTATTTCAGAAGGCGTTGATTGTATGGTTGTTGCAGATGGACTTTGCACTATTTCAGGAGGCGTTGATTGTATGGTTGTTGCAGCGGGACTTTGCACTGAGACTTTTGGTACGAGATATTTATAAATCTCGAATAACTTTTTTGCTTCTAGTGATTTACCCACTATTTCATTCTTCATTTTACTTATCAGCTGTGGTCCCACTGTGTCTTTGAATGTTTGGTAATTCATATTCACGGAAACGTTGTCATCTAAAACAACTTGCTGTTGTTCGGAGGGCATTAAACATTTTGTGTAATCTACTTTGTCTGGATTGAATGGGCACAGACCACATGCCGTTTTTCAACACAGATTTCTTTAATTTAGGCACAATTTTCTCTAATATAGGGCCCACGTCTGTTTTCTGTAAAGTTTTTGTTAAATTATTTGCCCGCCATTCAAGGACTGCTTTACGCCACATAATTTTGATTGGTCGAAATGCAGCTACGTCTGCAGGTTGCAACAAACGGGTTGCATTTGGGTACAATGCTATGAGTATTATGCCAAGACTTTGGCACAGTTGTGACAACTGGAGGGTGGTGTGACTCTTATGGCCGTCCATAAACAGAACAATCGGGAAAGTTACATTCTTTTTTTGTAAAGCTGGATGAAAAACGTTTTGTATGTAGTGATTACAGAGTTCTGACTTCATCCACCGATTGTCCAATAAACCAATACCCCTCTCTTTAGGTACAGACTTTTGAATATCCGGTCGCATCCTCTTTAGAGGAAAAATAATCATAGGTGGTGTTGTCTCACCGCCTGCTCCAAAAGTAAACATGACAGTTATGCAAGATTTCGATTGAGCATGATCCACTTCGTATATGTTTTTTTCTCCTTTTGGTCCTATAACTCTTGTATTTTTCGGGCACAAAACGAAATTGGTTTCATCTCCGTTGTATACTCTAGAAGGATCGCTTAGAATATGGAAAAGATCATTTTCTTTGAGATAGTTCTCAATTTGCTTGAACCAGTTTCGTATTTGGCTTTCCGACACTTTTGCACTTGCGGAAGTTACAGCTTCAGATGTTCTTATGGAAAGCTCTTGATGCCTTTTCAAAAATAGCTTGTATCATCCCTCACCGGGTGTATTATCCCCAAAGCTATTTGGTCTGGGTACTTGATCTAAAAAAAGTTTGACACTCTTAATAACATCCTCCTTACGTCGTGGAAAGCCTTTGCGACTAGATTCTGTAATCCACTTAGCTAACTGACGTTCTTTCTGTTCAGACAAAACTGTGTCTGGGCCTGGTCGACTTTTTACAAAATCTTTTGAGAGCCGAAACTGCAAAGTTGCCCTAGGAATGTTAAATGTACGTGCGGCAGTTTTTTTTCCCATGCCATTTTTTATAGTCTCTAATGCTTTTTCTAAATCTGCATCCGAATATCCTTTTGAATATTTTTTCCCGCTCTGAACCTTCGGCATCGTTATCTATAAAAGAAAGTGTAAAGATTTGACAATCATTGGCACTACCTAAAAAAGTATAGTGATTGGCAGTGCCAAGAATTAATTTTCGTTTAAAACAAACCTAATATACTAACAGGCAGGGTACAAAATCAATTAACATATTGTTTACCTAAGAATTCGACAATTATTATACAAAACTTAAAAAGTATAGTCATTGACATATGTGCCAATCACTATATTGTCAAACAAATTAAAATGCATTCATTGGCACCCTTAGAAAAGACGGTTCATTTATGTTACAAAGCTAAAATAACATGAAACATGCTCTAAATAGACAAACTGATTGAAATTTTGAGAGCTAGCATCATAACTTTCCTCGAAATAACACTTTCGCCCCGAAATCTAGCCACCGGATCTAAGCTTTTTAATATTTTTTAAAACTCACTACGAGACACATTTTTAAAACAGCTGTAAAAGAAATATGGATGGAGTTTGACACATAAATGAGTGTTGCCAGTATATTAAATCGTATATTCTACCAAGTTATTGACTTACTACACCTAAAAAAAAGAAAGCATTCTTAATACACATGTTAAATTTGCAGAGTGACAATCATTGAGGGGGTGCCAATATTAGTATTGTTTACCCTACTTATCGTTTATTATTAAATAATGTGATACAGTTTGTGTTCGTTAATGTTGAGTAGCTAAATAAGGCTGAGATGGAATATTTGAATTTGGTACATTAATGTTACCAATTCCGACTTCTTATTAATGATAACGTTTATTTATGTTATTTTATTGTTGCAGCGATCGCGGTCACCCAGCGGATCTGCCCAAAGACAGTTGGATGAAGCTGATCTCTTTATGGACCTCATTAAAGATGTCGCCAATGAATTGGATATCGATGTACTCTGTCACAAGGTAATTGCAATTTTATTTAAATAAAACAAAAAGGTCTCTAGTGAAAGAAACGGCCAAGCAAGAGCGAGTCACACTTGAGTGCGATATTAAAATTTAAAGGCCATAGATTTGAATAGTGTTTTATAATCTATAAGGAAACCATCAAAGTAACATGGTACAAATAAATACATACAATAAATATGCATTTGTGATAAACATTTCCATACCCACATCTCAATGTCATATTTGGTTTTCTCAAGTCGAGAATGAAATTTATCAAGGAAAAATTTGTGACAGGTTCCAAGCCCATCGCTTACAAAAGTTTCTTAAGTTCCCCATTCACGTCTTTGCTGTATGCACAGAAAAGTTAGCAGGTGGTGCACGCATTTTGTGTTTATCTTTCTCTCCTAAATCATTCAGACATAAAAGCAGTAACGTAATACATAATAATATGGCCTAGTTTTACTTTTTATTTGTATTTATGAAAAGGTTTATACTTAAAATAATTATTAAAGGAAGTCTTAGAGTAATCATCGATATTAAAGAAGTATGTGATTGATAAAAATCCTCTCGCATTTTCCTGGCTACTACTTTTAGATTTTGAAAGGTGCACTTACTATGCTTTTGCATATAGCATGTTTAATTATTAACATGCTATTAATAAATTTTGTAATAAAAAATAATTTATTTTTACTAACAATATTTTTTAGACAATCGATAACACTTACCTTCAGATTGAAAGTGGATTTTCTATTTACAGTGATAAAAGGTAGACAAATATCGGTGAACTGTTGTAGTATTAAACCCCTTGAAACGTGACATTTAAAGTACTACCTTATAATTTCATTCAAATGGATGATAAACAAAAAAAAAAATAATAATCTGCACGCGTATTATAAGGGATTCGAGGAATGTTTAGTCGAGAGAATGAGTTGACAGTGAGATATCTTATGCAGTGAGAGTGCACCAGAGAAAAGTGACATTTGGATGTGATGTGATGTGACAACACCAAACGTGATGACGTCAAGTCTGATTAGTATATTATGATGGTAAAATTTAAATTACGCTTCCCAGTACATTTACTTTTCTGTACTAATTTTGAATCATATAATTTTTTGCCTAACATCAAGTGCACGTAAAAGTAATTTAGTCAGTAAAATGAGGCATAGTTTCGGCAAATTATAATTTAGACTACCTACAGGAACGCTAATCTAGCACAACGCATTTCCAGATCTCATTGACTTCAATACTGCAAAAGCCATTCAATGTTGCCTACTATATATTTATTTTATTATTAACGCTCAAAAATTACTGTTGAAAGCTTCGTGCGAATGCCTTCTTAACGTAAACGATAGAATATTCTGTGTGACGTCAACTAAGTACCAAAAAGTAGGTTAACGGAGCAAGACAAAATAGTCTGACTATATTTGGATGGGTTTTCTTGTTTGTATATTATTGTGTACTGACAGAAAAATAACAAATACAATTTTTATTAATATGTAGGATATATTTTGCTTTCCTTCCTTCGGTTTATTTCTAAAAATAACAAATAAATCTGTCTTTGATATCCACCAAAGGTTGGCTCCGACTTTGCCCAATTTATACCATTATTATTGTGTTATTTATAATAAAAAGTAACTAGATACTGGGCGCCCTAGAACGCTCCGCTGATGTTTTACCAAATATTATTGAAAAATAAATAACAAAAGAAACGATTTCATAAAACAGAGATCTCAACGTAGATACGTTTCGAGATATCTTCATCAATGGTGGATAGATTGTGAAGATTCTTTAAAAGTCAAATCAATCATTTCTCAAAAAATATATTTTTGTTTAATTTGATTGACAGTTAATTTGAAAAAAAGGAAATTAAAATTTGCCTTAACCAAGCACAATAAATATAATTCATGAATGATTGTAGTTCTTACCTAAACCTAACCAATATTTTCAGTTAACCTACTCTTAAATTAATAATTGGAAAACATTAGAATACTACTTTGTCAAAAGAAGTTTTGATGTAGTAGTGATATATTGTCTTTCAGTTATTTGTGAAATGAGTTATTTATAGAAAGAGTAGTTTGTAGAGTGATAACTATATCGATTATAAATTTATCTACCGTTATTTTTTAAATAATTCAAACTTAAAAAATTTCTTTTTCAAAACAAGCTTTAGTTGTCTCGAACCAGAGATCGTGTATAGACAAATCAAAAGAGTCTACTTAATTATAAAGTACCTGTAAGAGAATAAAACATATACATTCTAAATTTCAACTTAATCAAAAAGCGAGAAGTCGGAAATATTTAGCTTTCAAGATTTAGACTAATACGGAAAGATAAATTATTCGTGTTTCCTTCAAATGACAAGAGATCATCTAGAAAAAATCATATGAAAAAAAAAATTGTTGAGATTCGAAGATCATTCGAAGTCAGCTTCGATTCATGTCATGCGACTTAGAATTCAAGTGTCACTTCAGTTGTATATGGCGTACACAAAAGAGTGATTGAAAAATAAGTGAGATGCGAATTGATTCTTCATTCAAAAGAATGCGAGTGAGTGAATCTAGGTCGAGGAAGAAGACATCAAAACGTACAATTACTTCCTTGACACGAACCGATTTCATGGGTTGCTAACATTAAATTGGGCTTGTGATCGCCTATTATATTAAGATCATACTTGCATACTTAAACTTAATTGCCTCTGTCGGCGAGATCCCTTGATTGGAATTTTATACCTTAAGGCGTGTCTATGTAGATGGATTTTCATTTATTTTTATTGCCATATGGTTGTACATAATGCGATATTTATCGGCGTTAAAAATTAACCTAACAAGGGGTGCAACCGTCCATAGGATGCGACATCTTGGCGATGTTCTATGGTTGTATTTATTCATAATCATCATTCTTTATCGTTCATCGTTTTTAAAATATACGTGGAAGAAGTGAAATGAACCGAAATGTCGCCATTACATCGCTAAGAAGTCATATCTTAACATAGAGCTATTTAGAAAGAATACTTGCAAAATAATACATTATTTATTTATTACAAGCGGTCGCTAATTGTGTACCTATATTTTTATCTTGGACTCTTTATATATCCACAAGCTATTTAATTCACTAGTAAGGATGGCAGACATTTGGATGGCACAGTAGTTTATGCATCCAGCCTAAGGAAGCAGATTATTCGATGTGTGACCAAAATTTTACGATTTCGAGCTTCAATAGCCCGTTCCCCTAAGTGCTTTCATGCATAATAAATACCAATTCTGCAGAGCTATTGTGTTATAAAAACAGCCTCGACATCGACGTCGAAAGCCGCACAGCATAGAGATTTTTAAATGGGCATATTTTTTGGCAATTTGTGGTTGCACTATCGGAAATTTACTGCCCGCCATCTCAGAAATTTATAAAATACATACTCTCGCGTCGAGAATAAGTTATCGTATAGGCGTATACCAATTCAATTGACGTGACTTTTGGGTGTAGAAAAACGTTCACGAGTCATCACGCTACGTATGCTAGCTTGCATTTCTTGTAATATTGCCGGGCCACTGTGTTGCAGCCACTATTGCGGAAAAATATTGCTCGTTTAGAATCGCTTTAAGGCATTAATAAGTCCAAATCGTGAATTTTGGAGTGTTGTGAATGAAACTCAAAATGTTTTTCAATGAATAATTATACATTTTTATGTATAGAACAAACACTAGAGTAAATTGTCGCTAGAGAGCGGCACATATTCGAAATATTTTTGTTTCAAAGCGATGAGGTCATAATGACTCAAAGAGAGTTATTTTCGGCACGTAATTGAAAAACTGAAAATTGCGTCCTAAAAGTACAATATATTCGAAGCTTGGTTTATCGAAAGAAAAACGGTGAGGTAAATATATGATGACGATTTTCATATTTACAATTGCCAAAATTCAATTTCTTTTTATTACATTTCTGTACCTAACGTGCGAGTTTGTCTTATCAATAAAGTGGTTTTCGTTAAAAACAAACTGTTTACTATGTACTTAACGATATCTTTGATACCTTGAATTTTATTTATTGCATTATGTTCATCTCTCTGTTAGTAAAGTTTCGCCGACTTTGAAATCTGATCAGATTTGCCCCAATATAATTCGGCATTGGCATTGTTTTAAAAAGTAGTAGTATTTGTAAATTGTAAGTAAATTTTAAATTTACGTATTAACATAGAAGTCTTTGGTATCAATCATATTACATACGAAAGAAAATCAGAACTCATTTCATAGATTAGTATTTGATCATTTTTGCATTCATAATGCAATACTGAAAAATATTCTTAATGAAAAATTAATAAAAAATCCCCTTTGTCCCATCTCAGAATGCCATGGACAAAATGGATTTAAGCATTTTTTGTTTCATAGATATTGACATGAATTTTAGTGCAACTGTTTCAAAGTCCCCATCTTTCGTAAATTCCAGAACTAATTTTTAAATGCTTCCAGATTGTATAGCAATTCTTTATTAGCAAGTAGCAAGTTTATAGACCCAATTTTCTTCTATATGTGATGCCAAGCTTTTGTCAAATGCAAAATTCGTCTTTAAAGTTCGTACGAAGAACGTCGTAAAAAAACAGTTAATTTGAACTCCGCTTTATTGGATGTTGTGAGTTGCAATCTCGTCCCGAGAATAAACAAATAAAACCCAGTTTACAAGACTCAATAAAAACGGAATTTAAATTTCAAAGAGTCCCCGAGGTAAAATTGACTTGGAGAATTACACCAACAAAACCTTTTTATTTTTATTTTTTTGTTTTAAGTCAATTTATTTTTGGTTCAGATACCCTCTTATAGGAACCATATTAATGACTTTTACTGGATGGTCTCTATGAAGAATCACTTCTCCGGTCAAATAACGCTATCTTTCTCTATCTTGAGCTGCGTCGATGGCTATGCTGACGTTAAAATCAGTATTTGTACTAATATCATCTATCTATCACCTAGAACTACGTCTTCTTGGTCGTTTGTCTTGTATCTTTCCGTTGACACATAACTTTGGTGGTGGTCTCTCCTTTTCCTGACGATGTATCCAAAAGATTCAAAAATTCTTCATAAACAATTGGTGCTGATGCTGAGCTTAATGCAGAATCATCTTAGGACTGTCTATGTTACATTTCAAACATATTTCACCAACACCATATTCCGATAGCATCGATGCACACGTTTTTTGAGCTTTATACGAAAAAGATGATAATGAGAGAAACAGTTTTTTCTCTCCATCCATATCCGTTTCTATTAAGAAGCGGTGTTCTTCGCCATACTAATGCGTCTTCTAAACATAAGTGAACTTTAAACTACTATCGTTAAAATTTTATTCAATGTTATTAAATGTATCTGGAATTGATTTCATTTGAATTTCAGATACGTAGTAGAACCAAAAAAAAAAGAAATACTTCAAATACCAAAATCAATCTCAAATTCTTTCCAAGGGAGTTAACTTATTTTCCCTTTTTCTAGATTTTTCTTATTTATTAACTAAATCCACTCAAGTCTTGTTGCAAAAGTTAAAATATTTTGCTCTTGTTCTTGTTTTGAACGCAAGAAAGTAGGTTATATATTTAAGTCGACATGTTTAAGAACTAAATTTCATTTTCCATCCCATCTTCATGAACTTTATAAATATACATGGAGTTTGCCCTCTGGAGAAACGCGTCTATTTTGTATTGCTACATAAGGACTTTCACAAACTTGGCGTATTTAGTTGAGGAAACTTGCAACTCCTCTGACTCATCTGCAACTATTTTCAAATTTTGTTACTTGTAGCACTATAAAGTTAATATTTGTTGACTATGCAAATGTTATCGTATGACGAAAAACTTCAATAAAGTGGTCAGTTTAGGTCAATTTAATAGATGTCATACAACATCAATAGATTGCCTCAATGATAAATAGTAACATATTTATGTTAATAGTATAAGCGCTATAATATATATAAATAAGAATATAAATTGATGCTGTTTATATCTTATGGCCTCACAAAATATTGCGATATATATCCTCTGAAAGGACAAATAGAGCAAAATAGTTACACAATGGTTACAAAGGAAGGCAAAAGAAAAAGAGGTAGACAATAGAAAAGATGGGACGATGATATCAAGCAGGTTGCCATCATGACGTTTAGTAGAGTCGCTATAAAGAGATTGGAATGGTTGGAGAAGGCCTTTGCCAATGCGAGAATAAAATTTATTATTTAAATAAAATGTAATGTATTACAGAAATAAATGTAATTGTACGTGTACTCGGCTTAATATTTATATTTTAGGGGTGTTCTTAATATAGACGAGTAAATTTTGAATGTCTATAATTAGCGTTGCCTGATCTAAATATGGGTTATTCAGAGAAAATACCCGACTATAGAATCGAGCACTCTCTATAATACTTATCGGAACTTTTTAACCAACTTCGAAATCAAAAAGGAGTTAGTTTATGTTCAACGGCGATGTATTTTTTTTAATAATGTTCACCAATTTTTATACGAATTGTTGACTGATTAATCGGTTCTAATGAACCAAGGTGGTCCCATATATTTTTTTTCGAAATCGAATAAGTAGTTTTCTTTTTATAATAAAAGAAAATATGCTTTTTATTAGATCTCATCTAAATATTTAAATAATATAATTATATCAGCGAAAAAAAACTAAAGATGGCGTATTTTGCATTCATTTCAAATTCGAAAGGTGAATTTTTCTTCAAGTATTTTTAAAAAGAATCCACGTACATAGGTATTAAACTTATTTATTCAACCTCCTTATTTGAAAGGCGAGCACGTTGTACTTGGCGTCGCTACGTCTGAAGTTCTCATTATAAAATCCGTTCTGGATAGTGCATATTCTATATTATCTTGGGTCCGTGTTCAGTATTTTTATTGTATTAGTAAATTAGCACAATGAATTACTTTAGTAACTAAGTTTCAGATTTGAAGAACGTCTATGAAAAACAATGCATGCGTTTGATACTTGTCCAATATTTATTTATAACTAGTTAACTAGGCAAATTTCGTACTACCATATACCCGATTTTTTAATATTACTTGAAAGACTCCTTTAAATACTGTGTTTTTTTCCTTGGGCTAATCTTTTGATTATGGCTATAGATAAAAAGTATAGGTTAACAATGTTATTATTAAGCAAGGTTTAGCGTCGAAATTCATATTATTAATTAGAGACTTAGCAAAGATTAACCTACGAGGTTCCAAGGGAGTAATATTGGGTTGGCACAAAAGTAATGAGACACACTAGAAAAATCTATAACATTTCCTTTTAAAATCAATTTTTTCGATAATATTCTAGAATGTTGTAGAACATTCTAGGTACTTCCGGTGTAGGGTATATAAAGCCGCGCTCGCGATTTGTTTAGTCAGTTTGAAGAAAAATGGACGAGCGACAAGTTCGAACACTATACTTATACGAGTACTTGTTAGGCCACAGTGCGCTGGCTGCGGCTGACAATATCAACAATGCATTAGGCGCTGGAAGTACAAGCCATGCGACGGTATCCCGTTGGTTTGACCGTTTTAAATCAGGAGACAGGAGCCTTGAAAGTCAGCCACGCTCAGGGCGACCACCCGCAGTGAATGATGACGATTTGCGCCGCGAACTGCAGTTGAATCCGGATGCTACCACTCTTGAATTAGCGGAAGCACTTAAACATACCATCTGCATGAGCTTGGTTATCGAAAAGTTTTGGCTCGGTGGGTACCGCACATCCTTACAGACGCCAGTCGTGCAGTCCGTGTCGCTATCTGTCAGTCACTTTTGCTGCGACCCCGACGTAAAGAGTTTTTGTCAGATCTGGTTACTGGAGATGAATCATGGATTTATTACGAGAACGATACACGTCGTGCTTTTTGGCTGCCTCGAGAAGAAACGCCACCAACTCAACCGAAGCCGAGTCAAAAGAACCGCCGAAAAATTCTGCTTTTCTGTTTCTGGGATGCGCAAGGCATACTGTTTTATGAGCTATTACACAATGAAACTATAAACGCTGACAAATATTCAACCCAGCTTACCAAATTATCTGCCGCTATCAAGAAAAAACGACGAAGACGAGTCAATGTAGTTTTACTGCACGATAACGCTCGACCTCACGTCGCATCTGTGGTTCGCCGGCAGTTGGAGAACTTGGGCTGGGAGACGATACCCCACCCACCTTATTCCCCAGACCTCGCCCCATCAGACTATCATTTGTTTAGAGCCCTGAAACAGCATTTGCGGGGTAAACAATTTAATGATTTCTCTGACGTAGAGGCGGAGTTGAACAACTTTTTCGAGGCACAGCCATCAGAGTTCTGGGCAAAAGGCATCCAAACTTTGCCGGATCGTTGGCAAGAAGTCTAAGATACTAATGGTAATTACATCATTTACTAAACTTTTTTTATTGTAATAATAATAAAAAAGTAAAAACTTAAACCAAGTGTCTCATTACTTTTGTGCCAACCCGATATTTACACCTAGAAGGTAGAACCTTTGCTTATTTTATGTTTAATATGAATTTGGACTAATACTAATATTCCAATTTTAGCGTAAGTTTACCCTGACGGTAAACCTTGTTTATTAATAGCACTGTTAAGACCGTTATTTTTACACTCATGGTTTATTAAATTACTACAATTTATTATGATTGCTGCATACAGAATACGCCTGTCTGCTGACGATACATTATTTACTTTCCCTTATTTATTGTCATATTCCATTCAAGTCGCATAACAAATTACCTTATTTATTGAACGTAATTCATCGGTACAATTCTTATTTACATCCATAACACAAGTGTTAAATATCTTGAATATAGCATTTTAGTAAATAATTTACTCTTGCTTCTGTCCGCTAATAAGAGGGCGCATGCAAAATTACCAACTTTCTACTTTTTGCACAAAGAAATAACGTCAATCATTTCCGTAATGAGATACACAATGTTTTGAGTTCCTCTTAAAAATGAAAAACACTGTAATGTGTTTATTCAAGTATTTTTAAGATAAAAAGAACCTAAAATATTGAATGGCGCGAAGCTAGTATCTATAGCGCGATAGATATCCTTGCATTGTATCGAGAGAGTATTGTGTTCTTCGAAACGGAATTGCGGTCTACGTAGTTACGTTTTCCAAACTCGATAAAAAAAAAGTAGAATACGCCTCAATGCACGCTCCGCGTTACAACGGTAAAATATTTTCCTAGCGGTAGAGTATTTTTCGTTCAATTTGTTCCCTTTGTGGGGTTGATATAGCACAGAGCGATTGTGAAGTATGTAAACATTTATTCTCCACAGATACTTGTGAACGTGTGTTTACTGACGTCAGCGGATAGAGGCAGCTTGTTCCTTGCAAAGGGTCTACCGCCGCATAGATATCTTCAGGCTAAGCTTTTTGACGTCACCAGAGACACTGGTAAGTTAAATTCAGTTATTATACCTAATTGACTTCGTTCAGACCTTCAGTATAGAAAAGAATATGTGTCTTTATTGTGTAACAAAGGTGGTCAAGGAATCATTATTATCCCCAGTTTCAGGGCACAGGTCTTCTATATGGTTAGAATCTAATTGGAAGAATGGGTCATGACCTATCATGCTAGCCTATTTGTGGATGTTAACAAATGCAGATGCAGCCGGGATGGATTAACGTGATTTCCAAAGACGGAGGAACTCGAGATTTAAAATTTTTTGGTCACCCATCCTACGACTGACCTTTGCGAAAGTTGCTTAACTTCCATATCGCAGACCGTTTGCTATTTAAAATAAATCTCATGAGAAATTGTTTTTATATTTAGACTCAATCATTAACTATGAAATGAAGATAATGAAAAATATAACGTCAAAACTTATCCTATCAAAAAAAATCTTTGATATAATATCTCTTTCAAGATCAATTTCTATTAAATCGATATTCAATTATTTTTGCACTATAGAAAGGTTACGAAAGCCATTAACACTTTCATCTCGTTATAGGTATTTTAAACGGATTTGGGTATTATTTTCACTGAGAGCAGCTTTAATTGAAATATATTAACACTTTTCTTTAAAGCGATTTAAGATATTGTTAACCTTTTATAATATCCCTTGTTAAACACAGTGATAACGTCATTTTATTAATTAATTGTCATTTGCATGGAAAAATGTCCATAATAAAATAATAACGTTGGAACAGACATGTTTTTTTTGTTTGAAGATTAAATAAGAAAATCTGTTATAGAACTGCACTGCAAAATCTCTTTTTTCAAAATTTAATATCTTTTTGCTTAAGTTATCATCGATACTATTTGACCAACCTATAACAATGAAATCAAAGTGTAAATAGTTTAATTACTAAAAATTGCTTATATATCTAAAGATGCATATTTTCGCAAGGGCCCGATTATAGGATGAGTGACAAAAAATGTATCATCTCAAGCCTCTACGTGTATCGGAAGGCACGTCAAGTCATTGGTCCCATAATAAATAAACTCCTAGCACTTACCACGCACGATGTGTCATTGCCCATTCTCCCTGATGATGTCTGATAATGACAAACGTTATAATTATACCTACGAATTGATATAAAACCTCTAATAAAAATCGTCTTTAATGTATTAAAACCCAGTATTCTCTTCTGAAGCTCTACGCGTGTTTTAACAGCTAATGATGCAATTGTAACACCATATTTAGCGTTCAATTGTTTTAAACAATAAGTCATTATAGTCGACATAAAAGAAACCCCTTAGGGAGACCACACAGTAAGCATAGAGGATGAATACTGTAATAACAATCACATAGTATACAAGTTTGCACGCCAGGCTATACCACAACTTGTCAAATTACCGAAATCTATTTTGAACTCCACTTACAATAAATCAAGTGGAGTAATTTGTTAGTTTTGTATAGCCTGACGTGCTGTTGACTGTACGAGTTAATGTAATAATAATTAATAAACTCAATACTTTATTATCGAGCATTCTCAAAATAATGGAAGCTGGGTTTTTGTTTTGATAACAAACTCTAATCATCATTCCCTGCAGGGGCTCTGACCTTCCTTCTGGAGGGTTAAACAGGATGGGCCATGACCCTCCACGATGGCGCAATGTGGATTGGGAATATTAAAGACTGCAAATACAGCCGGTACCAACGGTTTAACGTGTCTTCCGAAACACGGAGTAGTTCGAGATGATAATTTTTTGGTCACCCATCCCTGAACTGACCATTGTGAACAGCGCTAATGCATTACGCCACCGAACAAGCTCTAACATTAAGAGAAAAATAATAATATGGAACTTAGAAAATATCGGTAGGATTTTTCAAATAATTACTATAACACAATATATCACGATCAGTTGTTAACATTTTACATAACTTCGCCATTATTTTTCCTAAACTCCCTTCCGAGCTATGGTGGCTATAATTATTATAAAGAATAAAGCCATTATTTCAGTTTATTGTATTGTCAATAATGTTCCAGGTATAACGTCTATTTTTGTAACAACTCGAACATTTTTTTTTTACATCGAAGACTAACGATTAGACGAAGAATAATTTCCAGAAAAATAAAATAACACCTCTATACCTGTAACATTAAAAATCCAATTACATTCGTTAGTTTGATCACCAGAATAGAATTTATAGATAATATTATATCAGATTTACGTCTAGTTGCATAACCGTCAAAGTTCAATCAGGTCTACGACATTGATTAAATATATCGTTTCATGTATAAAATACCTATATCTAAAAAAATAGTTAAAAAAATACCGTTTAATTAATAAGTTAAACATCTAAAAATAAATTTATCTATCAAAAATTCCCGCAAAAACGCTAACTTCTGTCAAGGCGGGGCTATGACGTTACTGCCCTCTGAAACTAATATCGTTCTATTATGGATAAGATTCAATTCTCTAAGTTCATAGATGAGAAAGAGAGACGTGACGTCACGCGCTGTTTGTGGTCACGTGACAACAAATATAAAATATTTCTTTTTTTTTTAAATAATTTAAGCACAAATTATAAATATAATAAGCTTAAAAGTGTGATTATAGATAATATCGTAGTATATGAAACACTACCAGAAAAAAGTGTATTTTGGAATTTTGTGCAACGGGCGATTAGACAATTAAAATTATAAAAAAATATTTTTAAGCAGATAATTAAAATTTAGAAATTTCAGTATCTATCGAAGCAGAAATATAACATAAATATTTAATGTTAGCAAACGAAGGGCTTAATGACGTGGCGAAAAATTTGTTTGTAATCATTTGAAAAGTTGAGCAATTTTGAAGACCATTAATAAATAATAAAACTTCTTATATTCGTGTTTCGAAAGGCACGTTGAGTTAAGATGACGTTGATTGCTAATCCATATTGAGCCAACGCGGTGCGTCACAGCCCAAGCCCCCCCTTCCTCCTCGTCAAGCCAACAGACATTTATAACTTGACGACAGAATGAAAGAAGTAATATCTGTACATTGTCGGATACATTAGGTAATTGCCTGTGAAGCATAACATGAGTGTAATACAGATACAATAAAATACAAATATTCTGTCGACTTGCCAAATAAAGGTGGACGTCCACTTTGCACGCACGCACGCAACGGATGCACTGATCGCAGGCATTATATGCTCAAAGAGAATGTGATACATGCCAATGATATCATACGAATTACATCCATAGATATATACCTATTGTATACATAAATATATATACATAATTTTTTTTTCATTAAAAATACATTCACAGAGCTACTATATATCACTTCGCAGCATTATGTCAAAACTTCTAAATGTACTATTGTTGATATTGGCAAACCTTTGCAATCTGTTGCGTACCGTGCGGCCCTTGCGTGCGTGCGGACAGTGTACCTTTACCTTTAATCTATACGTATCAATATCAACAGAATTGGAAACGTTTTAACGTGGGAGTTGCATGCGCAGGTGTGCGACTAAATAGGTTTCATGTGCTTAATGGTGGCTATATGGAAGCTATCCTTAGTTACGACATCATAGTCGACTTCACAGTACACGTGGGCAACTGAGTAGTTAAAGAAAGAGTATTAATAGTCTAGAAGCAATCTATTAAGATTCGTTCGTAGTATTTTAAGTATAGGATTACCTTTATTCAAAAAAATAATATATTTGTTGTTGCTATTCATTGATATTTCAAATTATGCAATTTTGTATGTTGTGTCCTAATTAATATATTTAATAGAAATTATCATGCATTTCAATCATAGAGAAGGCAGCCTCAGAAATTGGGATATTAGTAGACTGGTGATGTCGTGGACCTAAGAATTATGATTAATTAAAAAAAAAATCTATTTCGTGACAAATAATTATATTGACATCCTGTAAATAACATTATAATACAGCCACAACGAGCGCGAAGAAATCATAAATAGCTATATCCCTATCAGCATAGCTCTTATTAGAACGAGACAAACATACTTGAATTGACTTGCATAACCTTAAAATAAAAAAGAGCAAGTACAGTGCTTACGCATGAAATTAAATCTTTTTTGTATTTTACATTGTCAATGTATAATTTGTGAATTGTTTAAATACTCAGGAAGGTATTTTTGCTACAACTTTTTCATAGAAAATTACGAGTGAAAATGACATTCTACAACGCCTGCTGAAACATGACTGAAGTGAAACTCAGGCAAATGCCTCGTTTTCTTGTTGTCAATGTTGTGACCAGATAACCCATCTAAACTTTTTAATACATTTATGACAGGTACATTACAAGACGAATTTAATTTTTCGAAAGCACGAATTCGTCGCACCCTGACACATTGGTGTGTCATAGTTGGGCAAACAAGCGTGGGGGTGCCATTATGCAAACTACCTAAAAATAGGTTGCCACCCCTACTATAAATCTATGCTCAGCAAACTCGCGATAGATCAACCTTACCTCTATCGTAATAGAGTGAAATCTAAACATTAAGTGACGCAACTTTTCTGCACAAGGACAAGATCAAAAATAGAGGAAAGTAACCAAACATTATAGAATACTGGAGTTACTTTATATGTTTATTTACAAAATTAATTAATAATCTTTAAAGTATGCAATTTTTTATAGTTATTGACAATTTATAAATTTTGCCCTATTAGGAACAAGTACCTGGATGACCAAGCTTTGCTCGTTCTCTTTTCTTCGTGGTTTTCGTGTTTTTCGTAAATTATATAGTACTGATGAAATCTGAAAAATATTTTTCAATCTCACCGACGTAATATAAATGTGCTCTTGTTACTTAAATATAATTTGCCAAAAATATGATTTACCAAAAAAAGAGAGCAAAACTAAGTCATCCAGGAATTTATATTATTAAACAAAAACTGCAAAATCGAAAACGGAAGCGACTTTTTTTTATAAATATCGGAAAACTATAAATTAACAAACCTTATTAAAAATCTTAATCATTTTAAATT